CTAGTTATATGATGGGCATATATAACTAATTATATAATGGGGGTTAATTAATTAAGGAAGTGTGTAAATAATAAATAGAATAAATAATACATTTATAGAATAATTCCCTTCGATTACATGAAACCAAAATGTCGGTTATTTAGTGTCAACAAGACTTTTTTGTACTAGTTAATGTAGAACTTAAAAAATTCAACCAAATTAAATTAATAAGTTAGGTAATAAAGAGATTTATTAGTTGTTAATTAGACATTTAATATCTTGTTACTTTATATAGAGAACATGGTACCTTCAGCTATGGAGTTGTTGCAACTGGCTGTGGCATAACCAAACAAGTAATGACTACACATGCTAATAAACCTCCCAGTGCATTTGTATAAGCCTGGAGTCTCTCTGCAAGGTTTATATATATAACTTATGTGTTTAGCCTATAAAGCTTTAAGAATCTCTGGTTATGTAAACTGGCTTGCATGTATGTACTGTACAGTGCCTTGCAACTATTTTCAGAATCTTCCATGTCAAGGATGCTGGTAAGGGCTACATATATTTAGCATCGCTGCACAAAAAGGATGTGCTGGGTAGGATTATATATTGCTGTTACTAGAGATTATAGTTGTTATGTGAGAGACAACAGCGTGACAGTAAAAGTGTTTATTTTACAGAAAAAAATAGAAATTGGAACAGGAAATTGTGAGAGTGCTTTTATGGCTGTTAAGAATCAGTTAAACGCGATTACTTGCTATCCTGGATTTTGAATATACAATTTATTAATACAACACCAAAACATGCATTGCAAAAAAGCAAAAACAAGAATATATGTGTGAATTTCTCTGTCATGATACAAATGATCGACCATTCATTACATTCATTTAGGATCTTTTTAAAAAAAGATCAGAAGTAAAAACATCAAGGTTAAAAGCATCCACTATAACATTTTTTTAATTGTAAACCCCTTATTTTAAATTAGTCTCATATAATCAGTAGCATTAGTGTAAATATCGAAGTTTATACTCAAAGACTCACTGCCTAGGCATTAGTTCTAGAGTTTAAACTTACTGCTGAAGATGGACCTGGTCTGCATTTGTCTCAGGTGTCTTATCTCCTTCAGCCAGTTGGTTCTGTGTTCTTTAGCTTGGTACAGAGCTCAGCTCCTCAGGAGAGTTAGCATTGCACTGAAGTTTGTTTTTAAAACTAGCCTGTGCTCGGGATCTGACTCAGGTCTGGCTGCAAGTGAGACAGGTGGGGAGAATGTCGAGGCTCTGGGTTTGTTCTGGGCTATAGCTATTACCGAATATACTCTAACATTCAGACAGTTGATAAAATGGGTCCAACCATCTTAATTTCTTTGATCGAGTAAACTATACAATTGGCTTATGAGACACAAGATTTCTTTTGTTGCAGAGAGAAGGTTGGGCTGATTTCTATTTATGTACAGACTCACTCTATCTTAGTCAGGTATCTTGAACTAAAGTTAAAGTCCTGATTTGGACAACAGTGGTTACAGCCAAGTGGTCGATGATGTTGTCAAATTGCCCAGGTTCAACTGAGAGAGCAGAGCCAAGAAAGAGAGTTGTGTAGTACCTTTTGAAACCTGGAAATGATGTTTTTGTGATTGGATGTGATGTCCTCAAGTGTCTTTCTGCATGCTGAATGTTTCTCATTGTTTGATCATTCTTTGGGGGACAGAGTGTGAGCTCTGACCCAGGGGCTTATTCAAGAGGGTATCCCTTGCAATATACCAGACTCAGAGGAGATCTGTTGAACAATTGATCATTAAAGAGAATGAACCATACCATTTTATAATATCTAGGTCTGCGTTACAGGTTTGTGATATGCTGCTTATCGAAGAGGCCCCTTTCCTACTGGTTTTCACAGAGGCCTGAGCTGCTTGGGTGATTTTCTGGTCTTTAATTTTGAGCGTAATACTACGCCTTGGTGTTACTCTGATGTGTATATAAACAGTATGGGTTACATGGTTTATATTTATGGGTTAAGGTTAATTTACGGTTATACAAGTTACAGGTGATTGTTATAATTCTGGTTGACTGTTTATGGTGGTGGGTGTGTTCTCTGGTTATTCATTGGTGTGGAAGAGGAAAGGGTCTGATTCATGGTTAAGGTTAATGATTAATGGTTTATATGTTGCAACCTTTGTTCTCTGTGCAATGGTTTATGGTTATTGTTGTCAACAACCCTTCTTGTGAATTTGTTAAGATAGGGTTGTCACCAAATGCCTGGGTGTCCATTCCTGGAGTTGGTATAATCTAGATGTGCTTAAGAGACTTCAGCTTACAGTTTCTCCAAAGCAGCAAAACAACAGGACAGTAGAAGAAAACCCAGCTACAGGTCAAATTAAATTCAAAAAGCTAGGAAATGCTGAGTCACGAGGTCTGAATGGCTGATGGAAGAGTTGCTATGGTTGTCACTTCAGTGATAAGCGGGGACAAGGCTATACCATCTCAAATCCCACATCTAACAGATGTTGTTCTTTTGGTTATGAGCTATATTGGGTTTGCATCTAACAACATGCCTTGCATTTAGTCCAAACGGTTATATTTGAGTTTTGTCAGACTGCAAAATATTTTGTTATATGGGTACAGAATTTCTGCAGTGTTTTTTGCATACTTCAAATGGGATTTAAGATGGATTCTTTCAAGTATCGGCTTCCCTTTTGCCACCATGCCATACAGTACAGGTTTGTAGTTTGCTTGTGATGTTGTTGTCACACATGCACACTTTGAACAGTCATGGTCATAAAACCCTGTAGCTTTTTCTCAAAGTTGCCATTGGCCACTTGGTAGCCTTTCTGATCAGTTTTTCCTTCTTGCTTGGTCATCTAGGCAGGGTGCAGTGGTGCCATACACGTTCTGCTTCATAATGATTATTTTGGCCATGCTCTGGGGGATATTCAAGACAAGACCAACTCAGATTTTCCTGAAATTCACATAACATTTGGTCTGTGGAGGAACCGTCTGAAGCAAAATATTTAAATTAATCACAGTTTTTTAGATTAGATCATTTGGGGGCATTGGCATTTTTTCCTTACTAGGCTTCCTTGAAAACTTTACTAATCTATACATAAGAAAACAAATGAAAGAGAGGTCATTCAGCCCATTTAACACATTAGGGACTCTTAGTGCATATTTCATACAACATATAAAACTTTTGGTATCATTTTAATGCTCTCTGTATGTCCCAGTAGATCAATTATTTTTGGAGTTTGCTAGGGATTGATGAATATTATTCCACAAACACATGATTTTATTGCAAAATTGTAATCATTTTATTAACAAGTAAATAATCCATTAAAGGAGCTGAATATGTTGTCCTAGTTGAGAATTAATGCTTTGTTCTTAGGGATGCTGCACAAGGTTTTCAGGGAAGCGGTGATTGGGCACCTGTGCATCTATTTGTGTGCTGTAATTGCAATTTTCAAGAACATGTCAGTGTCACAAATTGCAGGCTATAGACAACACGATGGTGTGACAGTGCACCTCTTTCATAGTTTGCTCATTAGTCATCTGTGTGACGTGATGCAACTTCCACCCAAAGAACATTTTCTATTTCTCAGATAGGGCTGCATTAACATATAAAAACAGTAAACACTGTCCATGTTTTCAAGGTGAGGATTTCGGAATCCAGTCAGAGTGACATTTACTAGTCTCAAGTATAAATGCGCTTGTGAGACTAAAAGAATCATGGGTATTTAGATGTTTCATACATATATCTAAGTAATGGTCTGAGATGAAATTAAAGACATTCCAATAGCTTAGAATCTAACTTTGCAAGGTTGTCATCTTTTAGCTCAGAACATACAGCTTTAGAAGACATCAGGCACTTTGTCTCAACCTTATATAACAGGAAGTGGTGGTTTGGCAGTGTACTGGGGGTTTTCTACAACACATTTTATTGACCTTTCTTCATTCAGCATGACCTGCTTGCACATTTTCATATCCTAGAATGCATGCTAAACGTGTGATATCTATTTTGACAGTTGCCCACCCTTTAACAGTAACAGGAAGAAATCATATGTTAGAAGATGACATGGGTAAAAGCAAAGAAATATTATACAATTAGCTAAAAACAAAGGCCAGTAATAATAATAATTAATAATTGCTTACACTTATATAGCACTTTTCTGGACACTCCACTCAAAGCGCTTTACAGGTAATGGGGATCCCCTCCACCACCACCAATATGCAGCATCCACCTGGAGCGCCAGTGTGTGTGTTCCGCTAGAACGCTCACCCCACATCAGCTATCAGTGGGGAGGAGAGCAGAGTTATGAAGCCAATTCATAGAGGGGGATTATTAGGTGGCCATGATTGGTAAGGGCCAATAGGAAATTTGGCCAGGACACCGGGATTACACCCCTACTCTTTTCGAGAAATACCCAGGGATTTTTAATGACCACAGAGAGTCATTAAGTCATTAAAGAGAGTCAGGACCTCATCCGAAGGAATGGCGCCTGTTTACAGTATAGTGTCCCCGTCACTATACTGGGGCATTAGGACTCACATGGACCGCAGGGTGAGTACCCCCTGCTGGCCCCACTAACACCTTTTCCAGCAGCAACCTTAGTTTTTCCCAGGAGGTCTCTAAACCAGGTACTGACCAGGCTCAAACCTGCTTAGCTTCAGTGGGTTGCCAGTTGTGAGTTCCAGAGTGATATGGCTGCTGGCCAGTAGTATCCCATTTGCTCAAATACGCACTTTGGTTTTAGGTAATGTATTGTATATTCAGAATCCCATTCTATTTGTTGCATTACCTTAAATGATGACTCCTCCCCTTATTAGTTATAGCCTTTACACTTACACTTCAAGGGCCCTAATCTGTAATTATGTGCTTAAAGATTAGAGTCTGTAGAGAATCACACCAAAACTTTTTCAAAATTATGAATATTAAAGTTGAATACTAATCAATATGTGACATACGTCAATGATAACCAATCTACCAAGACATTCAAAGAGTAATAAAATGACACCATGATTATGTCTGTTGCATATGTAGATCAAGTTATGATGTTTTCAAGGAATACTAGATTTGAACAAAAAATGCATCTCAGTCTATGAGTATGAACTTTCACTTCAAATATTTCCTTCAAAGAAAAACAATAAATTGTACATGCCAAATACAGGTTGATTACAGACAGAATAACACATTAAAAGACCGCCTGTTGTTAAACTGTTAAGAAAGATGTGACAACTAGCTAAAAAGTATTTTTTTCAAATTTCCTCTTGTTAGCACTGATAAGATTTTGCTGCATGAACTAAATGTGCAAATATGCATGATCCCTACATCCTGCTCAGACCACAGAAACAACCATGTGCTTTCTTGTTGAAAGCCTTGGATGTTTGTATAAAGGTTACTAGCAATTCAAACACAAGTAACTAGAGTTTCACAGAAATTGTTTTTTTTTAATTGTCATATCGTAAGTTAAAATCATACACTTGTGTATTAATACACACATTCATCCAGATATATTACTTTTTTATAAACATATGTAATAGAGACATAGACTCCAATATCACCCCTAAACTCTTTCACTCATCTACTGTATAGTAAAAACTGTAATATTGGGACAGTGAATTGAAATTTGTTGTTTGCTGAGCCCTATTGAAAATTGTATTTGAGATCAAAATACAAATGTAAGACAAAAGTACAGAATGTCAGCTTTTATTTCTGGATATTTTTGTGCATACATGTTAAACCATGCTAGAACAAAAATGTTGTTGTATTAAAACCTAGAAAATTTCTGGTCAGCAAAAGTATTAACTTAAATACTGAATGTCTCTTCACTGTCCCAATACTTGCCCCAATACTACAGCTGCTTAGGTGGTGTCATAGCAATAACCTGGACTTGAACATAAAGAAAACGAAAGAGCTAATAGTGGACTTTCGGAGACACAAGCCATACACTCACAGCCCACTCAGTATTGATGGAACGGAAGTGGAAACAGTCACCAGCTTTAGGTTTTTGAAATTCACATCTCTAAAGATCTAACCTGGACTGTGAACACTGACTCTATCATGAAGAAGGCTCAGCATCGCCTTTATTTCTTGAGGTGCCTCAAGCGGTGGGGGATGCCAATACATGTGTTGGTGAACTTCTACCGCTGCACCATCGAGAGTGTCCTCACCAACGGGATCACCGTGTGGTATGGCAACACCTCTTCGCAAGAAAGAAAGGCACTGCAGAGAATGGTCAATATGGCCCAGATCATCGGCTGCGGTCTCACTGAGATTAAACAGCTTTATGAGGACCGTTGTGTGGTAGAATTCTGGCCATCACAGAGGACAGTCACCACCCCGGGCATGAGCTCTTCACCCCACTGCCCTCAGGCAAGAGATATAAGAGCATACGGACACTTACCACTAGATTCTTCAATAGCTTCTATCCAAAAGCAGTGAGACTGGCGAACACATTTAGCCATCCCCCTCGGACCACACCTACACCATCACCATCTACCTCTTTATGATTTCTTATCTATTGCACATCTCCAGTCATTGTTTACACGTCTGTATTGTTTACATTCAAACTGTCTACATGTTTACTTGCACATTGTCTTGATGCACTGTTTGCACTTTGTTTTGGTTTTTTACACTTGTCTTACAATCGAGAGACTTTCTGTAAGTAAGAATTGCATTGTACCAGTACCGGTTACATATGGCAATAAAGTTCAAGTTCAAGTTCACTGTTATAGTCACTTGTAAGCCATTTCAACAATATTCTGGGTCATCAGCACCATTTAGTGTAATGAACCATTTAGTGTAATGGTGTTGCTAATTGTACTTCCAACTGAATTATTATTGAGATTTTATTTGTCTTCTAATGTACTGTTAAGCAAATTGCATTGTCTTATCTTTTGTCTGTCATCCGCTACCTTCTGTGAGGTTACAGACTGTGCCTAGGCTGAAATGGATTATTGCTCTGTCCTTTAGGGGGAGCCAGAAGCAGCTTTTAGAGTTTATAGTTTGGCACTTATGGTCATGTACAGTAGAGTAAGTGGGTCTGCTTTTGACTGACATCTGAGCTGACAATCTATGCTGTGTTTTTTTTTTTGTGTACAGGAGTTTGTTTTGTCTGCTAGATTTTACTTATAAAAAATCAACATTTTCTAAATATTGTAATATTGTGAGTCATAGCCAGTTGCACAGTTGCAACAGTTGCAACCACTTTGCAGCTGAAGGTGTTTTTTTCTTTTTATGATCTCTCAAAACAACATCTTTAGCTGTTATTATGATCTTACTAATTTTCCCTTAAATTTATTTTCTAAATTTACTATATTCATATCAACAAATAGCAAAGAAAATGATGCTAAGAAATTCATGTATATACAGTATGTACTAGGTTCAAGAATTAGGCAGATTTTGTATGAATTTCTGTTCTCCATTATAAGGGATCCTTGTGTGGGATAATGTAGTGAAAGTAATTCAGACTATTTTATTCCAATTCAGAGATGAATCTTCTTCAGCCACATTTTATTTTAAAGAGAAATCAAACAGAACAGAACAGGAACAGCTGGTGATATCCCCAAATAACTTTGAAGAGGAATGGATATATTATAGAACTCTGAAACAGGGTGAACCAGAATTTCCACTCAGAAATAAACAGGTAATGTCTACTCCGTGTAAAAAACTATCAAAATAAATAACTTCCTTGTAAAGCTATTTAATCAAAACAGTATGTCAAAACAGTAAGTGCACAGTATGGCTTAATGTAAAAGGCACTTAATGTAAAATGCACTCAATATTATGTCAGAAAACAAGAACTTACATCAGATATGCTTATCATGTTTAAACACATTCTAAGTATTTTTACTTATAAAGCTATTGAGCGTAGTTGTGGCTCAGTGGCAGCTGGCAGATAACTTGCTGATATGGTCAGTTTTGTACATATCAGGTGACAGAAGTGAGAAACCACTTCTCTCACACACAATAATGGAAGTACTTGGCCAGTTTTGTGTGGCAGTCTTGGCTTGTCCACCGTTTTGTACAACTCATGTTCATATGAGTCACATGAGATTTCTAGGATTTACAGCAATGACCTAACAATCACATAGACAAGATACCTCATTACTGTTTTCGCAAAAGGATTGTGTACACTATTGAGAGTGTCAGATATTACTCTGAATTAATGTGTATAGATTAGTATATATTTTGAACTGTGATAAAAAGGGTGACTCAAAGAATCTTAGAAAAGCCAGTTTGTTATGTGGTTGGAGTGAGGAGCTGCATCAAGATACACTGTAATGTTAATGGTTAATTCCATGCAGAAAAGTAGAAACACAATGTTTTAGCTGTAGGGCTTTCTTCGAGTTTGACATTGTCAATAAACCTTTACTTATTCAGATGTTTTATTTTATCTTCTCCTTGAAAGTGAGGTAGTATCAGTTTGAAACACGAAGGCTTGTCTTGGGCTTCAGGGCTGGGGTCTTTCCCCAGTTTTTCCAATGAGTGCAATAAAAATTGTACTAGATTTTGTTCTTCACTGAGAAACATGAGTTTAAGCCACTAATGAGTACGGTAGATCACTTGGAATAATTTCAGATTTTAAAGTACAGATCAGGTATACATTTGTACTTTTTGTCAAGTTGTACTCTAATTAGTTGTAGTTCTAATTTAATTTTCTTCTTAAAAATGATAACCAGAAAAATGCATTTTTCCAGAGCAGCATGATGTGCACACTAGATAAATGAGTGTATTTTATTGCTGTATATTTTGATATAATGTATTCTACAGGTGCAACAAAGGGCTAATGAGTGCATTAAGGCTTTGAATCTCCTCACAAACATCAACGCAGGAGAACCAGTTACCAATGCACTGCAGTTACAATTTGATTGGTCCAGGTTAAAGGTAACAAAAACACCCCCGGAATTATAACTTCAAAACAGTGATATAACATACCTTTTACATAAAACATTTAAGTAATTTTGTTTTAATTCACTGGGACCCACTTTCATGTTTTGACATAGTCTGACTTCTTTTCATTTTCTTACAATTTAGAAAAGACCATTTTTGGCCCTTTTGACACCTCGCTGAGCATGCCATAACAGGATCTTAAGAAATAGATAGTCTCAGGATAACAGACGCACACAAATACAGCCGTAAGGTTAAAATAACAGTGCAAATTATTTACAAGAAAAACAAAGCAGCACCAAAAACAGCAAAAAAATACCTAAACGTCTTCCCAATGTACCTTTCTATCATGCTGGATAGCTAAGCTGCTTAGTGGTTTCCAAAACCTTCAACTGCTCACAGTTTTAAGTTTCAGTTAGTACTCTTCACAAAACTCTGTTTGCAAAATGACAGGTGCATTTCCACAGACCCTTGGTCATCCCTTCTCACTTGACAAGATCGAGAACACTGTTTCTTCATATATAGTTGTAAGGGCCATCAAATTCTTACTTGTGTAAATGTACACAAAAATGTACTTTGTGTTAATGCTTTGGTGTTGTTCTCCACAGGGTTCAATGGATTTGTGTAAAACAGCAGTGATGGGGCATTCCTTTGGAGGCGCAACAGTTATTGAATCTCTCTGCAAGGAGCCAAAATTCAAGTATATTTTATTTGTAATTATATTTTTCAGTGGCTTCAATACCAGTAAAGAGGGTGGTTGGAGATTGTTTAATTTCATTTTTTTAAATGAACATTCAGACTTGTACTAATTTAAAAACTTTTTTAGTGCTTGAGCGTTTGCTTATTGTTACCTTAATAAGGATAGGTACACTATGGCAAACTGACTTCAGTTGCCAGTTTTCAGTATTTGAATTGAGAGAAAAGTCTGCTTTATATTATTTTATGCATATAAAAAAGTAATATATCAAATATAAAAAAATACCACTACCCATTCCATCATGTGACAATAGCACACATTATTCATAGTATTAAACAACATTGTATTAGTAAACATAGTATTAAACATGGTCACATTAAGCTGATTTCATACTGTCAATTTTGTAGATGTGGTGTTGCTCTAGATGCGTGGATGTTTCCTTTGGATGACGAGGTTTACGCCAGAGTGAACAAACCCATAATGTTCATCAATTCTGAGAAATTCCAGTGGGCCGGGAACATAATTAAGATGAAAAAACTCGATTCTCCAACCATACAGCGGAAAATGATAACCATCAGGTCAGATAAAAAAAGGAAAGATTTAGAAAAAGTAGAAACATGGCATGTTTTGAAACAGTACTTCAACATTATAATAAAGTATTTGAATCTCCTGCTCAATAATTCACTTTGTAGGTCAGAAACGTTGAAAGAGGCAAATAGCAAAATTACAGGCAAAAGCAAAAATAAAGCTATTTAAGCTCCTTTTACTATTTATATCTTTTACAATATCTACAATTATTCAAACGAGCTTTAAAAAGAAAAACACTAACTGCTTATAGAAAATTAAAGCCTTGAAGAAGTTTTGATTTTTTGTACAATGTAAGCAGTAAGACAGAATCACTGGTAAGTATTAACTTAGAGTAAATTTCAAATATATTGTAAATTTAAAGTTAATTTGGTAATACCCAATTATGGCTCAGACAGATCATCATACTGCTATACTAACTAAAATGTAAATTAACTGTAAATTTACAGTTTCTTGCATTGCACTTATTCTTTCCTCTATTTATCATTTAATTTCTTCTTGCCAGGGGATCTGTACATCAGAGCTTTCCTGATTTTACCTTTCTCACTGGTAATTGGATTGGGAAACTTTTAAAGCTTAAGGGAGAAATTGATCCTGAGGTAGCTCTGGATCTTTCCAATAAAACCTCCCTAGCATTTCTTCAGAGACATTTGGGTAAGCATAAAAGTACAATAGCCAAACTATATTTTTGGATTTTTAAACTGAATAGTTATTCCCCCCTTTATTTCCTTATTCAATCACCATTTTCTTGAATTTGTAATCAACCGTCTTGATTTTTCATGCTAAAAACGTCAATAAAAATAAAACACTCTCTTTTCAGTTCTGGAAAAGGATTTCAATCAGTGGGACCCGCTAATTGATGGAAAGGATGACAATCTTATAGCCGGCACGAATGTCCACCTGCCTCCGTCTATGGAGATGGAAGAACATGACTAAATTCAAGAATTTCTACATTTTTATGTGGTCTCAGGGGGTCCCTTTCCATATACTGTACTTCGCTGAAACTTTGTTCCAGTTACTGTTGCTGTCAAGCTCCAAAGGGTAATGTGCCTTTTTAAATATTAAGCCTTACATTAAACAGGACTGATACATTCAAATGTAAACTTTATACGCAGGACTGGACTTGATAATGTAAAATGATCCCTAAAATTAGAATTACATTTCCAATTAAAAATATTCAGGATGATCTTTAAGTCACAGAGATGGCGGTTAGTGTTTCTGCTTTACAGCTCTTGGGCTCTTGGCTTGATTTTAGGTTGGCATGCCTTCTGTGTGGAGTTTTCATGCCCTTATTGTTTGCATGAAAATTACCTCCAAAGATGGGCTGCCCGTGTTTCCAAATTGCTCCTCTTTCTCCAAGAGGCTTCTATGAACATCTAGTCATCTTTGCCAGGATGAGAGACGTTCTTCTAGGTTGCTGCAAACCTTTCCAGGATAAGTTGCTTTCTGGTAATGGATTCTTTGACCACAAGTTATAGAGCAGCCAAAGAACCTTGCACAATCTAGGCAGAAGGCATGGGATTATATTTTAAAAAGTCACTGGTTGCCCATACCAGAGGGCTAGTCAAGCATGAAGAAACAAGCCAGTTCTGATGAATGAAGATCCCTGTTCAAACCTTTTGGAATCCAGTTTGAAAGAAATGTTTTAGGCAGACTTTCTGCAATAACTGTTTGCAGTTATGTTCCATGAGTTTTACATGGAACTGTATCTATCCTACATGTGCATAGTAGTCAGGTTAAGCAATTTTAAGAAGGTTTAGGGTGAGCAAGGTTATAAAGCATAAATCCTCCATCTACCTCAAACTCCTGTTTTGCATTTTATCTGTAATCTCTAGTTCCCAGTAGAAGACAACCTATTAAAGTGTAGTACTGTCAGAAGAGAACACTTGGCTGTGGGAGACAGCACTTACTGGTATTATGAACTCTCCAAGTCTTATTTTACCCGAATTTGATTTCTTTCAAGTCCAATGAGGTCATCTTAATCAATTCAGATAGATTTGTGATACACTATGCCAAAACAGTCAATTTTCATGCATACAAGGATAGCACAGTTTAAATTGACACCATAAATGCCTTCTGAAGCAGAACATGGCTAACTCCGCTGAATTTCTCAAAATAACTGACTGCTTTGGTAGTGATTGATATTTACCCTGTCGACAGCCAGTTGTAAAAAACACTATACGCCCATACTGCTCTATGCACTATGACATACACTAAAAAGCAAAAAGGCTGGTCAATAGGCACATTGTAAATGAGTAAATACATTTTTTTTCTATGGTAAGTTAATAGAAAGGTGCTGTTGTAGTTTTTGCCACCATGCTCCCTGAAAGGAACATCATTTCAAGATGAGTGGTCCAATTATTTTTTTTTTTTTTAAGATTGTCACTGATGTACCAGGCTGAAAAGAAGCACACTGTCTAATGATCACATTATGTTGCAGCTATGAAAGTTTCAGAGATGAGCATGACCCTTGCTGAGTCACTGCCCCTCAGTCAGGCAAACTACTGTGACCATTTCTATCCAGCAGATATGAATCACTGGAACAGTTGCCTCAGAGAAGGCATCTTCTGAACTGTCTTTCCCCTGCCTAATGCCTCAGCTGCATTACACCTTGGGGAAAAAAAAGCAGACCTCAGTTTTTGTCTGGACAAACTTTACAGCAAAGGATGCAATCCAAAATTAGTAGGCCAGGCAGAATTAAGCCCATAGTGTTGAGATCCACACCAATTAATGAAATTAAGCCATTTTTCACCTACATGGAATTTGACCCAATATGGGCATTACTAGTTAAAGCAAAATGTTGTCTTTGAATTCTTACAGCCCAACTTACATCACTGTTTGAAGTCCACAAAACCTGACGATGTTGCAGTGAATATAAATGTACTTAGAATTTTCATTGCTATAACAAAACAATATGCAATATACATAAATATGGTATAAAACTAAGAACAAGCTTTTGAAGTACACAACCATATTGTTCTTTACACTATGTAACACAGGAAACATTTTGAAAAGTTTCACAAAGATGATTATGAAGAAAAAAACATCACATTACAATGTGCCTTAAAGAGCTCATCAATTGTTTGATTCTTACAATGTATTGTTCCTGAATATCAGTATTGTTCATTACTGACTGGTGTAGGCAAAATAAGAAATTTTATTGCATCTTATCTCTTTAGTTGTATTGTTCCATCAGATATAACAGAAGAACCATTTGTTACAGTATATACATGTATTTGCTAGGTCAGTAACATGCCATATATTTTAAGTTACCCAGACTTCACATACCTGTATTGTCAGGTTTTAGAGTATTATTCTTAAAAAAAAAAAAAAGTGTAGTAAAAACTGTAGCAGTTTTCATGAAACCATTGCCTATGAAACCACAGCAAAATTTGTCTTAAGCAGTGTTTCAAAAATACTCAACCTGCCATTTTTAAACTTTTCTTCTTTTGATTTTCAAGATCTTAATTTGCCTTTGAAGAGTTCTAAATAAATGTATTTAACATCCGGTCATGCTAAATGATTATCCCCATCATAATTCCCTACCAGTATATTAACATTATGCTTTAGGACTGCATTTAAAGACTTGCACTGTTAATTCCAAAACACAAATTATGTTATCCCCCCCAAAAGAAACAGTTTTTAGAAACCATTATGTACTTTTTACCAAGGTTTTGATAGTTTTGGAAATCTGACAAAAATTAGCTATGCATTGGTGCCATTTTTAGTTCTGTAATAACACTACTGTACATGTTTTCTAAAATAAAATGATTTTACCCAATTTTTTACTATTATTCTATGGTATCTTCTTAACACTAACACTTATTTACAGATCTACACATTCAAGATCCTAAAGATTGACAAACGGGTAATCCATTCATCTCTTTTTGTGAAGCAAGATCTTAAAAATCGGAAAACAATTTAACATCATATAATAAAAGACTGACAACTACTTTCCAATCTCTGCTTTTTATTTGGCTTGACTGTAAATAAGAAAACTTTTGTCAAGAGCATGACAATTCAGTTTTGGCTTCAACGTCAGCAAGAAAATTAACACTGGAAACCATGCGTGTACATGGTACAAATGAAACAGCACACAGAAGAAAGCAACACTCATCTTTCTTGCAGTCATTCAATGTGCTTACATGCAGTGACAGTTCTATCCAAATAAGCAATTTCTGCTATAGACTCCTGATCAAAAGGCTACTTTCCATGAGCACTGTAGTATTAAAATTTAATACTCAAAGCAAAGAAAACCATTTGTATCCATTATAACATAAGAATTTAGAGGCAATAGATGATGCAAAAAGGGATTGATACTTTCACTTAAATGTTAGTTTCTAACAGCCAAGAGCATTTTGAATGCAAAATTTCTCACAAATGTTATGACAACTTAGATGTGCATTGTTTTAACATTTCAGAGAAAGTTTTTTCATATCAATTGAATGCTTACTGAGCAACCAAATACTAAATATTCAGTTATTCTATGAATTTATTTTTAAAAAAATGACAACGATTGTAGGGTGAAATCAGACAGATTTTCTCACTCCAATGGTATTTCCAAAAACATTTCAAGGCATGTTCGTTTAAAGTAAATTTAAATACCATAGACTTTAAAGTTGCAAATGCGGTTTTCATTACCTGCAATCCCTGTCTACATCATGTTTTGCTTCTACAACAAATACATAATCAAGTCAAAATTTAAACTAGTGGTATTTTCTGTTTTAACACTATTTTCTAACAAATTTGTGGAAAAAAGCTACATATAATTTTAACAAATAACCCAAGAAAAACTCTTATGCAATACACAGCTGACAAATTTAAACATTAAATCAAGCTTTGCAAAAAAAAAAAAAGACTTATTTTGTATGAGTTCTGTTCTCATTCTGTACAGAGTACTACATCGTCTATGCTCAGGAAACAACTACTAGACAAGATAGCCTTTTATGTACAAGTTGTACCTTAAGGATATTGAATATTACACTTTAATCACTAATCTAAATGCATGAATATGCTGACTCAAAATGAAAGCCAAGTCCAACATTAACAGTTTACATTAATAATGTGTCTGACAAAGCATCTCAACTTTGGTGGAAAAAATGCTGAATTATTTTGTC